CCCCCCAATGTAGTTACCTCTCAGTAATTCAGCTAATTTACTTGTAATCTTTTCTGGTGTGATTATGCTCTTTAGTCTAGATCTGGACGAGCAGAGCTGTGCAGCTTGAAAAGGTTGTTGAAGTTTAATGCTCCACTTGTAACTGTGTCAGAGTGGTTTTTTACTGTATCAGTGCCAAGTCTGTCACGATCAAACAAGTGGTTTTCTTCAACAATTATTTCAGATCAGAACTGCTGGGTTTATTTTAAGACCATTTGATCTGTTTTGGGCTGAAACAATAAACGAAAACGGCCGAGGAAATTATTCTGAGCAGCATGTGAAGGAGTTGAAAATGCATTACTTTGTGGAGCTTTCGGCCAGTGCAGACCTGTAGCAGCTGTTTGGGAAGAGTGATGCTGAAGGGTTTTATGCCTTCTTTTCATCATTCGTCTAGATGAGAACTTAGTTAATTTGGTTGTGAGTCAGAAGTACAAAAATATAGTGCAGAACATGTGGTAAAGTTTTTCTTAAATGGAAAAAAGCCTCCATGATACTCTTCAATGCTCTTAAATAGTGGTCATGTCATATTGCTCACCGCAGAGCACTCCTATGAGGCAGTCTGGGGTAAACTGGTATTTTTATTGTGATATGACTTCTAGCTGACAGGAGCAAGGAAGCTCTGGGTATCAGGCTGTGCATTTCCACTGACCTCTTCCTTGTGAGCAGACTGCTGGGCGATGTGGACTGCTTCTTGTTTGGCTTTTATGCAGAGAGTTTAAGAAATATTGTCTATAAAGGTCTTGCTATTCTGTAAGCCACCTGTGTTACTTTCTGCTGGGTCTCTGTGCTGATCCCAGCTCTGAAAGTGCATACTAGAATTTTCTTTTTCTGCTCTCACTGCTGAAAGATTTGCAGGTTAAATTGTAAACTTGCTGGTCAATTCCTTGTGCTCTCCTTGTCTCTGTGCCTTTTGATGCCTTTGTAGCTTGAGTGGTTACCGTGTAAGCTTCAAGCTTCAAGTGTAGCTTGAAGGTGGTTACCGTGATACACCACCTGGATGATTTATCTGTTGACTCTTCAGGGCTAGCTTGATAGAAACTTCATTTTGCTTGTGTGCTGAAGTTGTCTTAATTGGAAAAACTGCACCATGATACCCAAGTGGCTGCCTTGTGTGTATTGATTTAGTTCCAGATTGAGGCTTTGTTTCATTTGAATTTCCTGCTGCTCGCTCTTTAGCGTACTTGAAAAAACAGCCTGTCACATTGCCTGGTGGTGATTCCTGGTAGGTTTTTTGTTTGTAGAGTTGAGCACTTAAAATCTTGCAGGGGCTCTGGGGAGCTCCCATTGGAATGGCGTGTGGGTGGGCGCAGTGCCATCCGCAGGAGCTGCTCGATGGGGTTTTCTCAGGCAGCCAGGTGCAATGCCTATTTTCCGCCCAGTTGGTTTCATAGGGACAGTTTGCTGAATAAAAGCTTCTAATTAGAATATTCTTTACAAATGGAGTATTTAAAGCCTCCTGTATTTTTGCTAAATCTATGAAGACATAAAGTCTTGATGCCAGCGAGGCTTCCCTCCAGGTCATGTACTTTTACTTC